CTTTATCAACAATTGTCTGTAATAATTATTGTGAAATTCTCATTAATTAATAATTCATGAAGAAAACACAAAAGCGTGGAGGAGTTTGTATATCTGATACAGAATCATGCTGATTTACAAAAATTTTAAGTTCAATTATCTCACCAAATATCATTAATTTATTTTAAATTGTTGAAGAATACGAATGTTCTCATCAAGACATTTCACAAGCCATTTAAAACATTTGCGTTGTAAACCGAACCACGTCAACATACAAGGATAGAGATAGGTGAAGCACATGACATAACTGCTTTTCCCTATCGATGTTGATTGTTATATTTTTTGTACTTTATATCTAAACATACCTGACAATATACAGGACTTGTAAAGAACAATATATCCAGTAATGTGTTGTTCGTGAACTCTCGAAGTTTTGTCACACTGTTTATCGTAATTGACTGTAACCGACTGTTCAAAATAAACACATCTTAAATTAGTGAAAAATCCCCGAAGCTTTCCCAATTTGGGTTGGCGTTTCCCCTTGGAACGGTGCATGGAGGCTTATGATATAGGTTTTGAAAACTACCCTCCAGTCTTACAAGTTCTTTTCTATAAGAACAAGTTTCACTCACCTGTCCACACCAGTAGGCATATCATCGTGTACTGCCCAATACCACAACACTGGTAAAAATTCTATCCTACCAACCAGATTGTCTTGATTTCCGATCAATTTTTCACGGCGTCCATCCATCATTTCCAACGAAACTCTTCGAAAATCATTGACTGTAAGAAGCAAATTAAGTTATAAGCCTCGCTCATTCAAAATAGCCACTTGTCATGCGGGCAGATTCTATTATAATTTATGTGGAGTAGCCAAGGATTTTTCGAGTTGTCAGCCAGTAACTGCTGCAGGATTAGATAGCTAGCTAGACTGCCTTCACAATTCACATGCTTTTTGAAACATTGTTCTGCTTTTCAACTTATTGTTACTTGCTTACCACATTCAATAAGTGATCTAAACTTGAGGTCTGCATATGGACCAATACCATGAACAACAAAGACCAAATGATCAATTTGTGATGGCTCGCCTAGAAAATCAAAGTTAACACTAAGACGCACAACTCAATCACGTTATTTTAATATTTGTGCCCCTGCCCTCTCTGTGACAGTTCCCGTACTTACATACTGGAGGTATGCCATGGTCAAAATGTATATAGACATGACCAAAATTTTTTAAGAAAGATTTGTTTTAAAAGGATCAATGGATGATAGAAACCTATTACATTGTAGTCATCTTCGGGAGAATGCCACTGGATGACAAAAGAGTATTGCATGAATTGGCAGGTGTTTACACAGTCATTATGCTTCCCCCTCCACTTGCAAATCTACTGTTATTTCCTACCATCATCTATGTCAGCTTCAAAGTCATCAATTCCTCGGCGAACAACTTTTGGTCGACTTCTTATATCTTCTCCGGTCCACTCATCCTCATTTGATGTTGTTGCACTGAAATGTACCATGACGTTTGAATTGTGCATGATTACTGTTTCACCTTGTTCTAGATTCACTGTCTTGGGCCATCTCTGATCATCATGGGCATCTAGGTATGCTTGCTGGGAGTGAGAAATAAGCACCGATAAAACAGTGACCTCCATATATATCTGGACTGAGAACTCGAGTCCAAAAAATGAAGCCAACGATGGAGCTATTGGACGTCAATAGACCTTACCCTATTTGAGTGAAATTTTGATCTAGACAAGTCTGGACAAAAATTTCATCACAGCTTGAAAGAGCATCACAAAATTAGTAGAAGAACTCACCGAAGTTTCGTTGAGAAATTTTGTAAAATGTGGATAATATAGCCTTGCAAAGTTTGCCGTTTTTCAGTCATTTTGCATTACAAATGGGAAATTGATAATCAGATGATCAAACTGATTATCAATTTCCCGTGCGTAATACAAAATGACTGAAAAAGGGCAAACGTCGCAAGGCTATATTATCCGCATTTTACAACATTTCGCAACAAAACTTCGGAATATTACTAATTTTGTGATGCTCTTTCAAGCTGTCCAGGCATATCTAGATCAAAATCTCACTCATAAGGGGAAGGTCTATTTGAAATCGATTTTTAAAGAATAACACTATGGTTTTATGAAATGATAACTTGTTCAGTGATACAATCTGTTACAAGAAAACTGGTATAAAACTTGTTTACGACCTTCATGGATCTTAAATTCACTACATTATATTATAAATACATAATATACAGTCACTTTAGCCATTTTGAAACTTATAAGCATATTCACTGGACACCTGCTGGAGATTGAGCAATTTCAAAGACCATACCTCTAAATTTGCGGCAATACCTTCTCCATAAGGTACCAACTTATTCTCTCCATCATGTGCTTTACAAAACCATGTGCATGGTCGAACAACTGTAACTGGCTCGTTCCAATAAACACTTGTCCTAGTTCTTTTATCAATATTCACATCATAACGGCCACCATCTGTTGCAATAATTCTGTCATTTCCTCGTGGAGGGCTTGAAAAACTTTGTTGCAGCAAACTAGAGTCTTTCCACGAGAAAGGAGTCCACACTTTTCCATGTTTCAAGTAGAACCAGTGTGGGCGGACGGGTGATGCTTTGGCTCTTTGTTCTGGGGTGGGAGGTGGTGCAGAGGGTGGCTGGGGGGATGACATAGCCGGGGGGAATATTGATTGTTGGGATTGAGTGAATGGGGGTACTGCATGTATAGGTTTTAACGGGGTTGTCTGGGTTGTCATGGGTGGTTGTGATGGTGAATGTTGATAGGAGACAGTTGTTGGTGGTAGCATTTGCTAAGTGTGAAAATATATGACATCACAAAGACAACTCAGTGCAGCAAAGATACTCAGTCTGTTATTCCTAATAGTCTTTTTACATATTCTTTTCAATGAGCATAATGTACTAATGCTAACATATATTGGTCACTAAGGGCATAAGCTTGCTGCAATTTATGCTGTGGTAATGTGTAAATAATACGAGCAAAATCACCTGGTGTTAGACAGAGAAAAATAATGTTTTTGCGCTACTTTTATTTATACTGTCTGACAATCACATGGTTTATATGGATGACCAACTAATCATCTCATGATGCATAAATATTCAAATTATATGGTATTGTGAGAGAGAACTCCCAGTGAGAATAGGACTCATAAGGGGGCAATGTAACTTAATGGGTTAACATGACCTTGCAATATTTTAGCAAGATTTAGACACATCCTTGATGGTTTTTAGGAAGATCTTCACATGATCATACAGAATCTTGACAAGATCTTGACATGATCATGAATGCAGAATTTTACCAAGATCTTGACATCACTTTGAAGGATTTTTGCAAGATCTTCACATGATCTTGTAGGATTGCAGTAAGATGTTTGGATGATCTTTATAACATAGTTACAAAATCATGCTGAGAACTTGGCAAGATACATAATTTGTATCCAGGCTAATGTGTGTAAAAGAAGATTACTATTTGGTTTACCATTGGTGAATATATACTGCTTGGTGGATTTACATTAGGTGATACATTGGAGGCTATTGGTGGTGTACTTGGTTGTCTGGGTGGTGTACTTGGTTGTCTGGGTGGTGACATCAATTCACCTTTACGTGGTGTCGAAGGTGGCGTCACTGGTTGACCAACAAATTTCTCTACTTCTCCCTCTAAGACATCTAAAAATATTTATTTACCCAAAATGAAACCACAAATTTGAGATTCGTGTTAAAATGAACTTATAAGCAACAGAGTTGTCATTTGTTCGACCACACAAACTAACAAGCTTTGCCTATTTGTCTGTGAATTAATGTGATTGATTCATTTAAATGGCCAGCGGTTATTTCACACAATAAAACCGGAACCTTACCTGCACCTAACCCCGAACCAGGCCACGAAGCTAGTGTGTACAAAGCGAGTGCCTTAACTACTCGGCAACCAAGGATTTCCTTGAAAAATGTAATTTACTTGATGTCACTTTGGCAAGCTGACAGAACAAAGAAATGAACCAATCAAATTAATTCACAAACAAATAGCCAAAGCTTGTTGGTTTGCGTGATCGAACAAATAACCCCTTTCTATGAGCAAATTAATAGGAAGTGGTTATTTTTATAGTATGATGTTACATTTTTTATTCTAGTTTGTGTCATTTAATAAAATGCTGTTATTAAAGACCGACTAAAAGGAATAACATTAACAAGGTTTAGGGTTAGAAAGTTTTAAAAAGCACAGTTCACATTTAGTTACAAGCTCAGAGTTCACAAATCACAACATTGAAAGTTGAAACCAACACACCTGGATTTAAAGCAATTTCCTCGCTTGTATTTCCACCCGATGGCTGTACCACAGGCGAGACAGACGTAGGAACTAATGCTGGAGCAAACGCAAAAGGTCCTGATAGTTGATTCAAGTCAAGACCATCACCACTGCTTGGAAATAGTGAATGTGAAGTCAGTGACGTTGGTGTTTTGTCCGCCATATTGGAACACGTTGATGTTTCACCACATATCCCACAAGTCACTACTGGCTTGGCGAGATATCAAATATCGCTGACTCATCAAAAATGATCAACATGTATAAAAATAGGTCCACACCACTCACACGCGTACATTGGCATCGAATTGCATTGTTGGTCTGTAATGGGACTCAACAACTTTCCCGAGTTTACACAGCTTTTCTCAGCAAAACAAATAACTTTTGAGGACAACAGTTAGCAGACTTTAGAAGTTAAAACAATTTTTTAATATTAAAATTGAAGTAGACTAGTTATTTAGCTGTCTAAATCGTGTGACACTTACGCTCAAAATCGATTTACAAGCTGCTCGAAGTCGTTTACAATCGATGGTTTGTGGTAAACGTGAACCGTAAGGTCTCTATAGTATAACTAGTGACACTATTACATCGGCCAACGTCGCAATCATCATGATTGAAAACAGAGCAGTAGAAATGTATTCATTATTCGTTCATGTACGAACATTTTGTTAAACCTTACGACCATATTAAATTATAAGCATTTGAGTACACCCCCGCATACATATGTTTATAGTAAACAGTTTTGAATCCATTTTTGGCTTTAACCTGAATATAAATACCATATGGCTGACCCTTGTTTACAAATCCCATGGCAAAACCTGTGACGTAATTCGGTTCGGTTGGCTTTGGCAACGGACATTGAAGTGAGGCATATTTAAACCTTAATGTTCCAGTATTGATCATACTTTTGAATTCGACCAAGGTCATCGTTTTATCTTCAGGTTCAAAACAGTACTAGAAGAAAAAATGTAATTCTATTCCCATCGGCACAAGGCTTTTGTAAGGCAGTGTTAAACAGTGAGTCAGTTTCCTCAAACATTTGTTACAAATCCTTGAAAACTTAGAATTTACCTATGCCAAATCTCAACAAGTTTGGAACAAGTTGTTAACAACTTGTAACAACTATCAGACTTGTTGCTAGGTTGTTGATATTATCAGACTTGTTGCAAGGTTGTTCCAACAAGTCCGATACAGTCATGATATAACAATATTGTTACAACCTTGTGTTGTCAACCTTGTAACATTCTTGTTATATCGTGACTGTATCAAACTTGTTAGAACAACCTTGTAACAAATCTGATAATGCCACAAAGCTTGTTACAAGTTGTTAACAGCTTGTTTCAAACTTGTTGCAACAACTGGGAACAAGCGGTGCGAACACAACTTGTCGACAGCTTGTGAACAGATTTGTAACAACTTGTTTGCAGACGTGTAACAACTTGTGCGTTTTTACGTGCGTACATGCGACCCAACTGAAAAAGCTCCAATAACTGTATATAACTGATAATCTCACAAAATCTCCATTTACTTACTTTATAGATGTCTTTCTCGTCTCGCAATGTCTTCGGCGTAACTCGAATGTTAAAGTAACTATTTTGCCATATTGTTTTTGCACGGGGAAAGATGCGAGTAATATTGTGTTTCATTAAATAACTGAATTTCCCATTCACAAAGAACTTTTTAGATGTCAGACATTCTTCAGCAATAAATGAGTGTATTTCTGCGTGTGCAATGTCCAGAATAAGTGGTCGCTCTGCAGAAAAATAAAATGAATTGAATATAATTTTACAGGGACCGGTTACAGGGTGAGATCTCTATATATTACTGAACGGTCTGTGCCAACGCCTATAGTGCCGGACAATAACACAGTGCATTCTTGAAGGATTCTCCAGTGGCGGGGCCAAACTGCGAAAGGGCCCATTTTCCTTACCCTCCCCCACGACACCGCAGGCACGAGTTAACTAGGGGGTCTGGGGGCATGTCCCCCAGAAAATTTTTAAAATTTAGGTCTCACAAATTGCATTTCCTGCATTCTGAGAACACATTTAAAAAAAAATCTCAGCTTCTCAAAAAAATGTTTTAATGGTGAAATTTGTAATAAATTGCATGCTAAACATTCAAACACAACATAAGTTTAAGTATGCTCACCAACAAATTTTGTTTTTTAATTAAACTTCTTGTCAATGTTAAATTCATTTACTCAATACAGGTCCTAGGGCCCTGGGGCAATTGGCCATTATTTTTCTTCAGTGGTGGGGCAGAGGAATGGGCTCAGTGGGGCAAATGCCCCACCAGTCTGTGGTATTAAAAGATGCCTTGCAATAACACCAGATCTATATTTTGGAAGAGTGACTACAAGAGCGAAAGGACGCAAACATTTTGACCAAAGTCTGTCATGAAGTTTTTCCAGAAAATAATTTTCGGGTAAGCATGCATTTCAATAGCCTGCGTCGTAGAACGCAAGCAGAAACACGATAGAGCTGTGCAAACTCCGGTTATTTTAGCTCCGGCTCCGGCATGCAGTCAAAACTCCGGCTCCGGCAAAGGAAATTTTAAGGAAATTTCATATTTAAAAGTAGAAGCAGTCGAAAGTATTTCAGTGTAATTTCAGAATTTATTTTATTCCTTTTTGAGCTTTCCCCTTTACTTATCAAATATACATGCTTCGGTGCTTGTTTAAACATGCAATGCTTGTAGAAAGTAAAACCGCATGGCAGCATGGTACTTTCGCCCAAAATATATCGGGGTGCGCTTGCAGAATTTTCGAAGCCATGAATCGGATCGGAGCAAGTAATTAAACTTTATAGTAACTTCAAATAATTCAACTTAATTTTTCCATTACCAAAAGTTCATTGAAATATGAGATCATTTTTCATAATTTTGTCTGTACCACTATATAACACTTGATATAGTTCTGCACAGCTCTAAAACACGAGTATACACTGTTGGCTAACATTTTACTCTTGTCACTTTTCCATTCTTCTGTTCAAGGTTTTTGGGATAACCGAGTTGCATTTCCAATTTTCCCAAAATTTGACGCTTTCGTAATTGGGCTAATTAGTAAAAAGCCCGAAGCCGGACGGTGCTCGGTCAATTTTGTTGATATAGTTAATATTCCATGCATATTAATCGCCTATATGTGGGCTCTAGTCTAGGTACATAGTATTCATTTCAATAGTATTAGTAAACTGTCTGCGTTTTGGTCTCTTCCAGCTGTGAAGACCAGAAGAAAAGGAAGACTGTTGAATATTATTCACCTACCCGTACATGAAGTACTGGGACACATCTCAGACTCGGCTTCAATTCCAACACATCTCTTACCCAACTGACAATCACGATATCGTTCTCGTGAACCTTCTAAACAATACTCTCTTTCTGTGCAATTTGACCAGCGCGACCATTCCATCCAATGCCCTAAAGAGAGCTCAGCTGCGCTAGATTTCAGTATCAATAAACTTGATATTAAAACCCAAGCAATTACGACACATGATAGAAAGCGATTCATCGCGCGTTTTGCCAAAGTTTTAATATAATCTTTTGTCAAAAAGGTATCAAGATGAACCAGAGATAGATGTATATTTGGGCAAATTGAACACGCTTGGTTTTGATAAGCGCGATGGATCAAAATCAAAATATTACTCACAACACAACACAAGTGAAACATGACACCGGAGATTGCGCATGCTATAAATACGTATATCATATCAAGTGTCAATTAACATATATCGCTAAACTACAACTAACATGTAGGTCATGTCCAATTGTATTTAATTCCGCATATATGTTTTTTTAAATCTCTATAAAAAAGGACACTTCTATAATATCGATATCCTTCACTGCCCGTATTTCACTCTCAGTTCTTTCCAGTAATTCCCAGGCGAGCTACTATTATCTCCATGTGACCCAGGACGTCCCCTATAACCCCGACTCTGTGGAAGAGAGTGGAAACCGACTGTATAATATTTTTTACGCTTTGATATAGTTTAATAATATATAAAAAGCATATATTAGCCCAAAAATAAATTATATATAGATACAGATAAAAAGCCAATTAGTATATATGTACAAATAAAATAGAAATTTCGTAATCTGGCTAAGAGTTTAATGTGTATGACCAACAATATTAAATGTGTTCTGGATTACCTGTGCTATGATTAACCAAAATGTTATGATGAATGTATGGATAGCGAAATCCCTAATTCCTTGCCCTTTTTCGGTTCCGCCTAACGTCTATCAAAGCGTGGTAGTTTTCTCACCCCCCCTCCAGCGTCTTCTTTTCCTCCCATTTCCCTCTCCGTTTATTCGTTCCCAATGTCGTGTCTTTACTTAGTAGAACTAGCTTGTATAGGTAAAAAGCAAAGTAAAGATCTTTGTACATTTAGTTGGGTGCACAAACAATATGCATGGACGACATTTAGGTGGGTACACAGACTATATGCATAACACTTTTTGATTTATCATTATAAGCTCTTCTTACGATATCCACAGCTTCAGAATGACTAACACCTTGCAAACTTTCTCCGTCGATTGAGATAAGTTCCCAACCAGGCTAAACAATTTGAATAAAAAGATAAAATTTTAGTGGAACAGTAAAAGTGACAAATCTTCCGCTCAAACCGATACTGACTTTCTTCGTAAAGGTTGCTGGGACATGAGCTCTGGTTTAAGTAAATCAATGTACTCCAGGAAATGAATGTTAAACAGTGCAAGCGACATGTGATTCTAATTTCTATTCTTTTACCTGTAATGTACCATCATCATCAGCAGCTCCACCAGGAAAGACTTTCTCAATACGGATCTCGGGTTGGGCACGAGAAGCGCTGCCACCAGAGATACTGATGCCTAGGAGGGCGAGAATGATATCTTAATAGGCGAGGGTGGGGGCGAATGGCTGGTAAAAATGGGGCAAATGATGAAAGGGAAGCACGACACGTATTTTAATAGGTGAAAAAAACCCAAGAAATTTGTAACCTTGGGAAAATGTCATAAATGATGTTTTTAACATATTTTGCGGACGGCAACTCCCGTACCCACACACATGATTATAGGTCGCAAACAGATAGCAATAATAAACCTAAGCATGTACTTGACGAAGGCTTTCCCTCAAAATTTACAATTCGGGGTCTATTTTAAAATTCCTGCTTCCTGTAGTTCAGACCCACACCACAGCAGTTTATTATAAATCTAACCACCTACCCATGCTTGTGCGTATCTTTGGCAAATCAAAAGTGAGTTCTTGATCCTTGATTTCCTCCTTATATTCAACAGAAACTCGGTCAGGCACTGTCAGGAAATTTCCCAACTCTGAATTGCTTGCTTGGTTTGTGAATGACGTGTCGTGGACCTCTACGGCTGGGAGGTCTGGGGGCAAAGGAGGCGGAGGAGGTGATGGCACGCCAAAGGTGCTGAGGTGGGGGGAATCACTGGAGGTATCGATAACTGAATGAAAGATTGAAAGCTAGAATATTCGCAGCAAAACTGAAGTTTGTATTGTTATGTTGTTGTTATGAAGTATGTGTTGTTTTGGTTGTAGCATTGATAGTCAGCTGGTAGTTTCGGTCGCAGTTTTGATTTAGCCTTGCTACTTGGCGGGTGACTATGTTGTTCTGATTTGGTGTGCTTGGAAACGCAAGCAAGCAGAGTTGTGGCTGGCTTTTTTGTGTGCCTCACGGGTTTTTTCTCCACGTACGAACGGTTTTCCTTTCTCACCAAAAGCTAACCGTTCGACCTTAACTGTGCTTGAGATGCGTCCTTCACAAGTTAGCTCTCGGCGGCAATGGAAGATTAGAGAGGGCCAAATTTGACTTCCACTACCGTCTGATATATCAAACACATCTGATTGGCTAATGATCCGCTAGTGGTAGCGGTAGTCAAATCTGAATCTTTTATTAGCATCTTTACCTTTACTACTTTAGTCATGAAAGCAAGCGCTCATATTACCTTGTATCATAGGTCCCATCTCAATATTGTTATTTGTATTTTCATTTGACCACGAGGTCCTGTCTTGTCCGGTTTTTTTAGCCTCTCGTTCCAAGATAGAAGAACCTTGGACTTTCAAAGCAAGCCGTTCTTTCTTTAATTCTTCTCGTGTTTTCTTGATTTGTTCAGCCTCGCTTCGAGTTCGTAACTGGAAGTTACCATGACTGTCTGAAGTTAGGAAAAGAAAGATCTCCCTTCACCTTTATATACAATACTATACCATACCTCCGTACCATAGAATTGCACCAAACGAGAACATATCATCCCATCCTACCGGTGTTTTATACCACGCCATACCATACAGTACTATACCTTACTACAGAACATAACACCACATCATATCATAACATACCACACCATAACTTAGTGCACCATATCACTATACCATCCATTACTATTCCTCAACATGCTATACTATACCATACCACCCCTTGCCATACTATACCAAGTCATACCAATTCAATCCAATTCAATCATTCCCAAACTACACAATACCTTACTGCACTACACCACACCATATCACACCACACCATATCACAGCACACCATGTCATACCATACCATACCATACCATACCAAACCTTACCATACTAGTACTACACTTTACCACACCATACTATGCAATACAATACAATTCCATATCATGCCAAGCCACACCATGATTTATATTAGTTACCATATCATACCATACCATACCATACCATATCATATCAAACCACACAATATATCTATACCATACAAGAGTCTGACATTGACGACCACCTACCTTGTACAGCTTCAACTATAGTTTTCTTCGGTTTCGCAGTGATTGCGTTGTCGTCAAGGACAGGAGAGGCTAACAAAATGAGATAGAAAATAAGTAGACCAAGCCCTAGTGCAACCGTAACGCGAGAGCTATATGACAGAGAAAAGCAACTTGATCCCGTTACAGAAAAGCAAATATATACTGTCGAACAGTACCTGGTGCTTTGTTGCCGTAAAACTCTAACGCTTCTACTTCACGATTTGAAATCATCGCATCAAATCGTCCAACATCGTAAGGAAGAATAATCGCTCTGAAAAAAGCCAGGAACTAGAAATTTTTATCCGTAGTGCTACTCCTGGCCTAAAGCTCTATCCCGGCCTTCAACCCCCACATGTAAAGATGCGTAAGCTAAGCTAAAGCTTTCAGCTTGGACGCGTTGCGATAGAAAAGCAATAGTTCCCAATTTATTTATCAAATAAAGAAGAGAGATGACTAACAAAGTATACCTGATATCTCTGAGCAGAATGGCCTTCCTTGGCGAGTCAAGTGTTAGCAGCAAATTATTCACAAGTCCTTCAACATCCTCCTCTTGATCTTTATACTGAAATAAATTAATTGATTATAGACAAGACAACTGCTGTATAATAGACATAACAAAAAGAATAAACATTATTTCCTCATCCAGATAATCTGCTGCACGATACTGAGTGCTAAGGGAAACCCACCTGCCCCACCAATGCCTAAGTTCTATTGCGTTTTGTGGTCTAGATGAGAACTTTAGCTTACCATTCTTATTTGCATCATCACAGTATTATAATCATTGTCATCCAAAAGATTCTTGCATCTGTTGTCAACATGACTCATCATTTCTTTGTCACCTGAAACACAATTAGACAAAGCATTTCACCTTTCAAAACCTTACCAAAAACGATGTTTTAAATTTGAGAATACATTCTGAGATAACTCGTTTTCCACTGGAAGGTAGTCGGATTTCAAATTAACAGACACTAATACCTTTCTTGCGAACTTTATGCTTTTGATCGCCTTTCTTCCTAAAGCTCAACTTTGCTTTGATTTTGTCTCCTTGTTTCTGCAAGAACGACTTGGATTTCTTAACTTTTCGTTTTCTATTGTTTGGTCCATCCTCATTGTCACTTGGTCGACTGAGAAAGTCTTCACTGCTTACGCCACTTCCGTTGGAACTACGCTCGTTCACACTACCGGTTGATCCATTATCGCCACTCTTCAGTTTGGCCGTCTTCGTATTGAGGCTGGTGACGTAAGGACTGACAGACTGTATGACGTCATACGGACTAGGTTCAGGGACCTGGCGCGGGTCAGCTTGGATGGCACCAGTCTCTTGTTGAGTTCTAGTGGGTTGTTCTTCCGGTGGTATTGGTGCAGGTGTTGACGAAAACACCGGCTCTGAAACTATTCATTTAATTTATTAATAAAGAAATCCACAGTATACCATCTAGGCATTGGATTTATCTACCATGGCCACAAATGCTTCCCTGCAGAGGTTAACACAACTGTCAATCCCATTCTCCAAATACCCAAAAATTACCATACATTCACGTCAATCTTGTGGGATTCATCCCCCCAATGTTTGGGCAGGGAGATAAATTAACACAATAATTTACTAGTAGTCTAGCACATGTATTTACGTGTATTGACTGGCCCATTCCAGAATGGATTGGCGCTCTGGTGTTATGAATTTACTAAGAGGAAAACCGTTTCACTTTGAAGGACCAGGAAATATTTTACACACAGGCTTTTACCTTTCTTGGGTATTTGTAATCCCTGGTTATGTATATTTTGGAACATTAGCACAAAAACATTTAACCATGCAGAAAAAATGACCATAAAACAATATCATACCTAACACAAACACGTATCGGTAAGTAATTTCGAAGTATGTCCAGCCTCATGAAAACATGAAGCTACTCAGAGTACTGCTCAACAATAACCTAGCTAGAAGGGAATGAGTCTGGAACGCGTTCTTGATTGTGTTCCTTGTTCTAAACGTGTTCCAAATTGCATGTCATTTGCGTTCTAATGGCTTCCAATTGCGTTCCTTGTTTCAAATGCGTTCCAATTGCATTCCATTTGCGTTCGTTCGGAACGTCATTAGAACGCCAACGGAGTGTTGTTTTTGAAGAGTACCGTACATGTCACTCACCCTGAATTTGTATATCTCTCTCAGGGGCATCTGCCTGAATACCAATATCTGATCTCGAGAGAGCTGGAGATGGACCGCGCTCCATCAAATCTACTTGAACACTGGAGTCTCTGCGTAACACCTCTTGGAAACTTAGATCTGGAACAGGAAGTGATAACATATCTTGCATCGTTTCATGGGAAACTGTAGGAAAAGAATGTGCAGTTTCATTTCAAGTACAATATTGTTATGCTCTTATATAAAAAAACTGTCCTAATAGTCTAATACTTTGGAAAATATTGTTAAACTATACAACCGTTACAATGCTAAGTCAGCAATATTTGTCACATGTGAGATTATCACTTAGTGGAATAAAAATTAAATAATTATAAATGAATTTTATTTAATAAATGCCAGTGTATATTAATATAATTGTATTTACCATTTGCCTTTGTTCCATCTGGATATATCCAACTGACATCTGAATAAAATAATTTTGCTGCAGGTAATATTCCAACTGACTAAAGTTAAAAATAATTGACAGGTTTCAGTAAGCATTGCAGTGCTGATTGAATATTGATCATCATTTGCTGCATGATAATGTTTGGTGGACCTCACATATTTTGACATCTCACTAACTGCAGTCATATGTACCTTCACTGTCATTATAATGTGTTCCTGTGATTTAACAAAGTCAACAGCTTCTTGATGAGGAATACTTTCAAAACTTGTACCATTAACATCCAGTATGAGATCACCAACTTGCAGTCCTGCCTGTTCAGCAACAGATTCTCTGTCAACTCTAAAACATTGAATGATCAAGGCTGTTAGTTTTAAAATGGTAATCATAAATGGTGATAATGATTGTGATGATTGACTATCAGTGATGGTAATCACAATGATGAGAAAGGTGACAATGTATGGTGATGGTAGTGGTGATGATGGTTGTGGTGATCATAATGGAGATGGTGATGTTAGTGATCATGATGGTCGTGGTGATCATAATGGAGATGGTGATAGTAGTGGTGATGATGGTCGTGGTGATTATAATGGAGATGGTGATGTTAGTGATCATGATGGTCGTGGTGATCATAATGGAGATGGTGATGATAGATGATGGTCGTGGTGATCATAATGGAGATGGTGATGTTAGTGATCATGATGGTCGTGGTGATCATAATGGAGATGATGGTAGTGGTGATGATGGTTGTGGTGATCATAATGGAGATGGTGATGATCGTCGTGGTGATCATAATGGAGATGGTGATGGTAGTGATCATGATGGTTGTGGTGATCATAATGGAGATGGGAGTGATCATGATGGTCATGGTGATCATAATGGAGATGGTGATGATCGATAATGGTTGTGGTGATCATAATGGAGATGGTAGTGATCATGATGGTCGTAGTGATCATGATGGTCGTGGTGATCATAATGGAGATGGTGATGGTAGTGAATCTGATGGTCATGGTGATCATAATAGAGATGATGATGTTAGTGATGGTGATAACAATGTTGTTAGCGATCTTACCAATAATGGTAATCGTGTGTGCAAGCGTTACTCACTTTGAGACATAAATCCCAAGTCTGTACTCATTACCACCTCGTAGATTGAATCCAATAAAGCTGTTGTTGATTAAATCTATTGTGAAATTTATCCTTTTCTCATCCATGCTATTGAGAAGATTGATGTTAGGTTGAAATTCCAGACTATGATGCTCACTACTTGCCTAGAAGTTGAAGAAATTATAAGGATTTTTTCACTAATTAACCACTTCTATTTGACATGCTGCATTAGCTTTGAACCTTCAGAGACCCCCAAAGACCAGACATCAGGTGTTAGCATATATGGCTGGTTTTGATTTTCTATGGGATTAACATGATGTGCCCAAAAGCTCTGTAGTTGACCCTACCTTATCACTATTGTCACTACCATTGAAAACATCTTCAACTGGCAAACCATGACTATCTACCCTGTAAAAGATACATAGATGTCACATACGTATATTATTTTATAATATCTTCAGTTGATGATTGCAAATCATATGACATATGTTCATATAACCCAGTGAGCTCTGTATATATCTGGACCAAGAACTTCAGTCATTCAGCATATGAGAAAAGTGAAGCCAATAAGAAAATATTGGGGGTGGTCACCCCCTCGGTCCCACAACTATTGTATAAAAAGTAACAACTGTAACAAACCAGAGCTAATTCTTAGATAAACATGAGCTGAAGCATCTTTATTGAACTGAAGCTAATGTAAACAACACTCAAAACTTACCATGAAAAGCCAGCTTTGATTTCATTAAACTCTGGTACCCTGCCTTCCGACTTTACCACTAACTTAACTTTGCTTATACCCGACAATAACTTTACAGCCGAACTATGTGTTATGTTTTCAAAATCAATGCCGTTACATTCAATAACTTGATCTCCAACTTGTAATCCTTCTTTAAGAGCCATAGTATTTTCATCTACGTTAGAAATATAAACACCCGTACCGAACTCGCGCCCACCGCGAATTGAGAATCCCAAAGTGGAATCCGGCGCAGGCTTTTGTAAGTTTACCACACGAAAGCTCTCGTTTGTTTTCGTTTTTAGCGAATTTGTGCTATGTGTTTTGTGTATAGTTGTTTGACTAGGAGGACGAAAAGGCTTTGACATTAAATTGTAAGGTGCTAAATTGTCAAAGCGGCTTCTGTAACTTGGTGGTAGCAGGTTACGAATGTCAGCAAGTAAGTCCATTTTCTTTGGGGTATCAAGACATGATTTTAAACTAGTAACCAAGTGTTCGACCGATCTCCCTGCATGGAAGTCTTTTAAGACATCGTGTAGATAATCTCTGTCTCTGTCGGTCAACAATCTTGAAACGTCTCGTTGAAATTTCTTCAATGTTTCAGCATTTCGCGAGCTCGCTGTTGGCGAAGACATGTTTGGTATTTTTTCCTACTATTATAAATATATCACCAAACTGTATAAAGGATTATTTCCAAAGATCCCCATTTATTAAAGTGTTGTTATTTTAAGTTATTTCAGCCATAATACAATAGCTTTGCAGGTCAGTATTTGCCCTTTAAGCGTCGTTCATATGGCGACCAAGTCATGGTGACTGAGTTTACATTGCAATGCGTTTGTTTGCCGACCCATTATTACCAAAATAATTACCATTAACATTCCATACATGGTTGTGTTGGGTGGGGGGGGGGGGGGGGGGGGGGGGGGGGGGGGGAGTAGGGGACTGTAGCAAAAAATGTTGTCCTGAATTTGTTGTTTATGTGAAAATGTGGCAATTTAGAAACATTCAGTGGTCTTATTTGTAACTTCACCAAGGGAAAGAGAATATAAGTCACCTGTGTGTCGGAAACTTATAGATATTCTGTTGTGTTGGTATATAGATAAGTGCATGAATATCATGTGGCCGTTTTAGCTGGAAAAGATGGGAGGAGAGAAAATTGTAGAACTCGACAGAATTGTGAGCGAAGTGAGATTATTAATATTATCGAGATTCATATACTGTAAAGAAATAAAACATAACCATTTATCCTCATGAACGATTTAACATTGTTGGGGAAGCAACCACGACATGTGTAGCAGCAGCTGGGTTTTTTTTGAGAAATTTTTCCACCCAGACAAGTCAGTGCAGCACATGGCTGTCAACTGTAAAAGCATACACATTTTATTGAATTGTTCACTACATTGAGTTTAATGTTGACCACTTGGGCCATACAGTGATTTCAGTTAAGTATTTTACATTGCACTACACATGGCACCTGGTCGACCAGAACCATATGCAGGATTTCCCATCAGGGGCAGTAATACACAATATTGTGTAATACACAATATTAGTTATACAATATTTGGATACTTGTATTACTGCCCCTGGTGGGAAAATCCTGCATGACCCTGGTTGACCACCAGGTGTAGTGCAATGTAAAATACTTAACCGAAATCAGTTTAGAGGTAAAACCACATATTAGTAAAACCTGTGTGTAGGCAGGATATACGGATATCTTTATTGTGCTTTGATCATACATTATCTGGGTCAAAATTTTAAAGTCATAACCTTCAGAAATCAGAATGTGTCAATGTTGGACGAGTAGGGCACATGGTAGTCTGTGCATAGTAGTTATGGTAGGTAGCCTTGTTTTGTTTGCATGACATTGGACATTGGGTACATAGCTTTTATCTTATTTGGGGTCATTCATGAAATTAGACATTAGTATAAGTCATTCTGGATCACTAGTTCTGCAGGTCAAGGTCTGGTCCAGTCTGACCCAGTGGAAAAGTTTGCATCATGCAACCACAGAATAGGAAGTTATACCAGAAGCATAACAAGCGATTCGTCATCAATCACGCCATCCTGGCTAGTACAACCGGCACTTTGTACCTACCAAATCCTGATAAAAACTTCCGGTTGTACTAGCCAGGATGGCGTGGCCTGACGTGAGCGAGTTAAAAATTTTCGTGGACGTCAAACAATAAGGGAAACGACTAGAGTTACACTTCTGGTATAACTTCCTATTCTGTGATGCAACCAAGACAGACACACAAATAAACTTTTTCTATATATTTACTATCAAATTTTTTAAATCTTGGGTGCACAATTTCCAAACTTTCCTGCCAGGAATCAAATCTTAATAGTGATCTGCCTAGGAAGTAATCTAAATTTACCCTAGGTAATCAGAAAAACTTTCACAGGATAGATTGTAGTGTCTTTGGTCTACGACAGGGTAGGATTATATATGCAAGCAAGATAAAACTTCTATTCAAACAAAAATATCACACAAGGAACGGATAAATATACATGTAAATAGGGCGGAAAATGTGCTCAATTTACTTGTAAACAAGGTCGGATGGTTCACAAATACCAAACCCACAAGCTATTTGGGCGGTTTATAGAATGTATTTAGTACGAACTACGAAAATTCATTCATATTCTTTTTGAAAGATTTGGTGGCTCTTAAAAGAGCCGTTTTTTTGTATTTGTCTTGTTCTTTCAATGTCCAGTTTATCCACCAAAGCCGTAGAGGGTTCGTCCTTGTCGTTTCAAGGCGTAGACAACATCCATGGCAGTGACGGTCTTTCTCTTGGCGTGCTCGGTGTAGGTGACGGCATCACGGATCACATTCTCGAGGAAAACTTTGAGAACACCGCGAGTTTCTTCATAGATCAAACCAGAGATACGTTTGACACCACCACGACGAGCGAGACGACGAATGGCGGGCTTTGTGATTCCCTGGATGTTGTCTCGTAAGATTTTACGATGACGCTTGGCGCCTCCCTTTCCTAGACCTTTGCCTCCTTTACCACGACCTGACATTTTAGTATCTTCGAACTTTCAATGTAAACCCTTCTACAGCGAGATATAAATGATTTGCCATCCGAATTTGCTCCCGGAAATTTATAAAATCATAAGGGCCGTACGTCTACGAAGACAGCAAAGACATAATTTTGATTGGATAAGATAGAAGACTTTGGATTGGTTAAAAAAAGGGTCTTTCTCTATGTTTTTATTGGTCATTAATTCTGCAACTGGATTGGTTAATAAAATTTCATTTTGATCCTGCAGGTTACCACCAGAGTAACCTGAAGTTCAGGCCCTACCACCAGAGGGGTTACCACTACTGCAATAAAAATAGCGATTGCAGAATTTATTAATTTTGTTTCAATTATGTGAAACTTTGTTGCAAATGGTCAAGTGGTAGAAATGCACCAAAAAGCTAAACTCGAGGCCAAAGTATGTAGACTTTGTGATGGTGTTTGAGTTATGGTGTCAGCAATTGATTCATGTTTACCATGACCTCAAAGGCTGAAACAGATCTCTCAAATTTTTGGTTAATTCTACTATATAAGATAGATTACCAGGTGATTCATGTTTGAAACAATTTGACTAACTCACAGGTGTTTGTTGTGGGGGTGAGGGTGAATGTGAGGGTGCTATTAAAAGATTACAACACTAGATGCCAAGTTTATTGACATCACCCACAAAGAATGCCTGTGACGTAGTCAAACTGTAACTACCTTGAAACATGTAACTACCAAAATAACATTATTTTTTGACAATTTGGTGGGACACAAATTGGGAATGCAGATATTAATAGGGATCAATTAATTCATCCTGGGGAGAGATGGTTGTTTCAATGGGGACTTTTGAGGGTGCTTGTTAAGGGGGGTCATATGTTGCTGTAAACAATATGGGGTGGAGGTGAAAGCTTGGACCTCGGCTTGGACAATGTGTCAACTTGCCCTTAAGCTAGCCTGCATCCTATTATACAAATTGTTCCAGTTGTGCTCATACAAAACATACAAATTCACCATGCATCATTTATTTTTACATCATACAATTTTACTTGTGAAGGGGAGTGTGGGCTCTCAATGGGGTACATATTTTGACTGAATGGTGGATTGGCAATACTATTATAAAAGTGGGATTTTACTTGTAAAAGTATGGTGAAATTAACATATTCATAGCGGCATGTAGTAAAACACTGACTACCAGAACACCACCGGAACACCGGAACACCACCATTTTGTTTGGGGTTAGGGTTTGGGGTTGGGGGTTAGGTGGTGTTCCGGTGGTGTTCCGGTAGTCAGTGTTTTACTACATGCCTATTCATAGCTTTGTGATTTTGATCTGGTAACTATCCATTATTGTCAGAATGCAAGACCTCCTCAAATTTTAAATACCCCTATTTAAAAGAAAATCCTGGATTTTTACTGTAAAATTTTAACATGTACAAACTCTGCCATTTTTTAAACTCACATTTGTTCCTGCGAGTAAGTTATACAACCTTGCTTGCTAGTGGGCCTAGTGTGCAAATTTGACTTTAAATGTATACGAATATGGGGTTGTATTCAAGTGTTCATATCTAGATATCGATTTTATTCTTTTGTAAATTTGGTGGCTCTTAGAAGAGCCGGTTTTTTTTGGTTGTCTTTAGGACTTGATTTAAGCTCGTTCACCACGGATTCGTCGTGCCAGCTGGATGTCTTTGGGCATGATGGTCACTCGCTTGGCGTGGATAGCACACAAGTTCGTGTCTTCAAACAGACCAACAAGGTAAGCTTCGCTTGCTTCTTGTAAAGCCATCACAGCTGAACTTTGGAAACGAAGGTCGGTCTTGAAATCTTGAGCAATCTCACGAACCAAACGTTGGAAAGGCAGTTTGCGGATCAGAAGCTCGGTGGATTTCTGATAACGACGGATTTCTCGCAGGGCGACAGTTCCTGGCCTGTATCTGTGAGGTTTCTTCACGCCACCGGTAGCTGGGGCACTCTTACGAGCAGCTTTCGTTGCCAAGGTCTTTCTTGGTGCCTTTCCACCAGTTGATTTACGAGCGGTTTGCTTTGTACGAGCCATTTCACAACTTGAATCTTGCTTTGGAATATAAACTTCGAAGAAGAATTTGCCAACTTGGAAATAAAATAATTTAAACTTTGCGCCCAAGCATTTATAGCCACAGGATATCCTCACGTTATTGGCTGATTCGGAACAAAGAAATCGAAATCAGATTGGTTAAGAATATTTCTATGTGATTGGTTGCTTAATTGAGCTTTATGATTGGTTAATATAACCCAAAATTTGATCCTCTTGCTTGAAGAAGCTATGACTATCAGACTATGTGTTGGTATATATCGTATATATAAAATATTAAATACATAGTAAAGTCACCAATAAATATGTATTCACCAAAGCTTCTGTTAAACTCTCTTAGGCATCTATTTCTGTCTGAGTCCATCTGCTGTTCTGTATATTAAAAGAACGCTCACTGAAATCTACCAATAGTAATACTACATTACTAGTGTCGTAGTGACTAGTGCAAGTTTTAATAGAGCGAAGTGCCGGTGGAAAATAGACTTAAGCCCCGTTTACAATACGCTCAATTTTTGGTACGGCACGGATAAAATTGGTACCAAAAATTGAGCGTAGTGACTAGTGTAAACGAGGCTTTAATAATAGTACATTCAATTGCAACTTGCGAGCAGTGCTTGTATCCCACAAAAAATATGAAATCGACATGTAAAAGGATTTAATTATTTTAAAGCAGAATATAATGAACAGACACCATTGACAATAGTCAATCCCGCCTCTTGTCTTTGGACGGTCAATACTCAACTAGAGATTCATCACAACGTAATGACTAATTTCGCCATATATACTCTCTACTATTAAAAAATTCTTAACTTCAAACACACGGGATTACTTAACTTTATTAGTTTATACCCTAAATTAAAGTTAAAACATGTAACTGCTGGGTACTAACTGTACTATTATTTAGTCAGAAACCTTCCATTTGGTTGAATTATGTCAATTATGCGGAGTCGAGGACCGAGGGTTCAAAAATGTCAGAAATATCGTGTTGTGTTTCCTTGCGAAATTCAATTGAAAAATTCGAAACGAAATGAGACGTATTCTTACGTTAAGAGTTAATAGTATGAAACATTATAACTCCAAATCTTAGTTAATTGTCTTTAAACTTGAGAGATAGTTGCGTTCTAGCTAGTGGAGTCGTTTGAATATAAAGTAAATGCCAAACGTGAAGGAATTATTTTGGATATTTTATCAAATTAGAGTCTTCTGACCTCCCTGTAACCTATTAAAAGAGTAGTTTCTAAATTTTGAAGTTTGTATCTATGCATTAATTTAAGTCTGTTATGAATATAATGCAAAAACGTATCCCAAAATCGACGGGAAAGTCACAAAAGAAGCACAATGTAGCAAATTAAACCACCATGTTTGAAATGTTGCAGGTATGTACGTAGGGGTCCGGCCAGCATTGATATATAATCACGCGGGATTTTCGAAATGTATTCATAATTTTGAAAGCTACGTTGAAAGCACTGGTTGAAATTAAAGCGTTGAATTTGAAAGTCGAAGATGTCTAAACCAGCATCAGCATCGAAACCTGCTCATCCTCCTTACTCCGTGATGGTTGTTGCAGCTGTTGCAGGACTAAAAGAGCGAAACGGATCGAGTCGACAAGCAATCGTCAAATACGTCCAAAGTAATTACGTAGGAATTGGTGGCAACTGCAGTAAGATGGTGAACAAAAGCATTAAAAATCTTAAAGAAGCAGGCAATGTGAGAGATGGCAAAGGTGGACCTTTCAAATTCGCACTCACTGAAGCGGCGAAAGCCAAACCAGCAACCAAGAAAGCAGTTGCCAAGAAAACCACGAAACCCAAAAAGCCTGCCGCCGCGAAGAAGCCCGCCACGAAGAAACCCGCAGGGAAGAAGCCCGCAGGGAAAAAAGCTTCGGACAAGAAGAAGCCTGCGAAGAAGACTGGTACACCAAAGAAGGGGGCCAAAACGACAACAAAGAAAAGCAAAGCAAAGTCTCCCGCCAAGAGAGCAGGCAAGAAACCGACGCCGAAGAAGGCTGGAAAGAAACCAGCTGCAAAGAAAGCTCAAAAGAAATAAATCCGTCTTCTAAAGACCAAAAAAACCGGCTCTTTTCAGAGCCACCACATGCATAAAAGAATTTAAACGATAAATCGATGAAAATATGCAATTGCCGGAAATATATAGTTGTGAATGCATGACTATTAATGCATGACTATTAATTAAAAGGGTGGGTGGTCATTAATTTAGGAAATATCCTTGCAAGAATTTTTTTTAATTCGGAGCAGAGCTTTGTCGAAATATTTAGTTTATGGTGTAGAAAGCTCTGAAGCTGTGCCTGCACGTGGAGGAATTTTCTGTCTTCCATGTAATTGATTTTTTCTCTCTAAATGCTTGCATAAATGTTTTTCAAATTCCACCTTTTGAATACATGCATGAATATTTTTATCCTCCCCCAGGATAGCTATATTGTTCCACCCTTCAAAAACTTAATAATTCATGAGGAGAACAAACACAAAGGAAATTATAAGCGTGTCGTATCTTTATACAGGGTGAGTAAAAAAAAACAAACTGATATCTTCGCGGCTAATTTCAATAACAAGTCAAAGTTGTCAGGTTTTTTTAGAAATTTTTACTCACCCTGTATAGTGTACGTGATAGAGATTTCTCTTGATTTACATAAACTTTCATTTTCTCGACTTTATACACAACGTATTTTTTAAAAATTACTTCGCCAATGAACTTACTAGATCGATCGTTTTTGAAGCAATTTAAAACATTCGCAGTGCGTGTTTTATCAGACCTAAAGATACTCGGCTTCGCCTCGTATCTTCACATCTGATAAAACACTAGTACTGCTCGTGTTTTAAACAGTACTTAATAATCTATTCCCTGTATTCAAAGTATTCTGATCGAAATTAAGAAGCCAGAAATCATAGTCCCAACTCAATTAGATTTTTTAAACATCCCTGAAAAAAGACCACTATGTCTGTCTATGAAAATCTATTTAATATGCCCTCTTCTAATAATTAAAGCCTCCCTTTTTATTTTTTAGGGAGAAATTTATTAAGGCTGTCCATTGACTTCTTCACTTTTCCTTGACTATATTCATTGTATACTCTTTCTATAAGTTTTTACTGGCTACCACGGCACATAGACATAGTAAGTGATTTATGCAAAAAGTTTATACATACATGCATGCATAACCAATTAAAATTATACACAACACAACGTAATTTAAATAGTGTTTTGTCTAACAAATCTTGTTCTTCATTTTGACAGCAGAGTTTGGTCTATAAAGAATTGATAGTGTTCTTCATGATATCAATAGCTTCAAAAATCTGTTCTTCATTGATAACCAGAGGTGGAGTGAAGCGTATCTTGTCCCCATGTGTGGGCTTGGCAAGCAGGCCGTTATCACGCAGTCGCAGGCACACGTCCCATGCGTCGACACCTAAACACAATATCTTTCACCATCAATAAACTTTCATATAGAGCTAGCAAAAAATCCTATTTTGGAGACTCAGTGCGCACTCAGTTGTTCAAAAAATGGAGAATTTTCCCTAGTCTAAGACATCCTTGGCCTGTACACACGTCAAAACGCACAAGTTGTTACAAGTCTGCAAACAAGTTGTTACAAATCTGTTCACAAGCTGTCAACAAGTTGTCTTCGCACTGTTTGTTCCCAGTTGTTGTATGTTGTAACAGGTTTGAAACAAGCTGTTAACAACTTGTAACAAGCTTGATGGCATTATCAGACTTGTTACAAGGTTGTTCTAACAAGTCTGATACAATCATGATATAACAAGAATGTTACAAGGTTGTAACAATATTGTTATGTCAGGACTGTTTTGGACTTGTTAGAACAACCTTGCCACAAGTCTGATAACGTCATCAAGCTTGTTACAAGTTGTTAACAGCTTCTTCCAAACTTGTTGACAACTTGGGACAAGCAGTGCGAACACAACTTGTTGAAGGCTTGTTAGCAGACTTGATATAAGGTGTGAGATTTTTACGTGTGTACATCCAACTGATCCAAGTACATTACATAACCTAGAACGTTTTCTATATAAATATTGGCTGTAAAAAACCCTTCTTGGGGGAATACACAAAATTGATGTCAAAGTATCCTATTAACTCTCCTGAAATTGGAAATCTTCAAATCTGGTCGACGAGTTCCGTAAATCCCGCGTTGTCTAACTGAGAATTCAGGTAATCAGGTATTTATTAAATCAACCAAACAGCAAACAGCCCAAGCAAAATCCAGTCAAGGCTAGAAAGTGTAAAAATGGATACTGACGGACCTTTCGTTTCCTTGATAGTGATTCCAGTAAATAGACCTTTTCCACGAACTTCTACGACGATTTCTGGATTGAGTAGCGAAATCTCAGACCGAAGTATTTCTCCCATTTTTGTTGCATTTTCTGCCAATTTTTCCTCTTCTAAAACCTATATGAAAGAAAACAAATTATAACAAATTTTCTTCATATCATTGATATCAAAGATGAAAAAATAACACTAGTAAAAAAGGCCACTCACCTTTAACGAAGCAATCGCAATTTTACAAGCGAGAGGATTACCACCGAATGTTGAGCCATGCTAAACGAAGCAATAAAGTAGATAAAAAACCAAACTATTTTATGTGCCATGTTAAGCTATTAGATTTATTAATCTTAGTTTCAATTGATATGAAAAGTTTTTTAATCAGATACGTGTTGAGAACATGAATAAGATTAATTCAATCTTTATTCCAGAAGACGTTCGTCAACATTTCAATGGTATACGAGCACGCAAATCTTTTGTTCAAATACAATCATGATATTTCACTATGCTCATATCAGTCACATCCAGAAACTGGTTCGGTTTAGTGCAGTGAGGGGGGGG